CAGGTCTGCGTAAAAGTTTCCTCCACTAGAGTCATACGACAGTCAGAAGGGTATGCACACAGGCGGTAGACTGCTGTACAAAAGCATGAATGAAAAGGTTACAGAAAGGGGAAAACGGGACACCAGTCACATTCTTCCTTTTGCTCTCCATGTCGACGGTGTAATAATAAGTCGACAGTGTGATAACAAGTGTCTCTCGTGCACCTTTCGGGCGAATATCCCGCGTCTGACGTGCTTCGTTACCATTCTTTCGTGACTTTGAGTGACTTCGTGATGATCCTATCGCAAGGTTGATGTCATATGTGGTGTCAAAGTGGCCGTTCGCACGACAGCGTTGGCGTGATATAGCCGGGAGTCGGCCCGGGTCTGGTCCGACACGCCACTGAGTTGAGATTCCGATCGTTGATCCCACTCTTGATATTGGAAGAAGACGCAGAGGCTCGGAATTGATGGGACAAGATAACGGAGCTGAATGTGCGCATCGGGCGCGATTACATGATGAGGGCGTGTTGAGTTGGATCAATGTGCGCGTTTCTGAGTTAGCCATGACAGGCAAAGTGCCCCGAACGCCTTTCCAAGACCAACCCTGAGCAAAAAAGGTTGGATACCATGCTGATTAGTGAACGCACCAATCGTATCTCAAAACCTCATTTTCCGCAGAAAAGCGGCAAAATGGATTGCCAAGTAGGGTGATCTTGTCTGCCTCAGTGGGGTACCTTTTAAATGTGCTTTGAGTCATGTAGCCGTTTTGCTGAAATTGCCTGTAAATAGAAACCATGTGAACGATGTATGAAAGTTAAGAAGAGACGGGCGAGGAGATTTTGTCGAAGGCTACATCCGATGAATCATGTTGATGTCCTTTTTGCTGCTGAGATGGGCCATGCCATGCGTTTTGCCAGTAGTGTAGAGAAGCAGCTCATTGCTCAGGATGACGTCCATCTTACGAAGTATCTAACCGAGGTCACACAATTGTTTGGAGGCAATGCAGATACTGAACGCTCATAGGCATGGGGACAGTTACCGTAACCGTCGGAATTCAGGTGTCGCATAAGATCGAGTTGGCTCAAACATGACGCTGATGACTTGTTTGCAGCTAATCCGTTCGTGAAGTGAGTTCGATTCCTGCTGCAGAATGCAGAAAGAAAATTTAGGCTTACCTCGACTGGGCAAGCTTGGCTTAGTTATGCCAGCAGATGCGTTTGGTTTCAATAACATCTGTCACCGTCGCGATTAAATGTTGGCTGATCTTTGCAATTTAAAACATGGATCTCTAATGTATGTCAAAGTGATGTGATGTGTCACTGGACATCACTAGGAGCCTTTGAAGCTTCATTCTAGGACCGCAAGGGCTTTACGGGGTTATCTACTTTACTGATTCTTGCTGGTTGAGCAATTTAAAAAAGCAGCTGTCCTTCGGGGGAGTCACTTAGCGACTTCTATTAAAAACGGACTTAATGACCAACGAATCCACCATGCTCGGTGTAATAGTTCGGCTGCGATCATGCCTACTTTTTCAATTCACCAGTTCCGAAGTTCCGAACGCGGGTTAGCAACGGCTGGCTCTCCGGCTTCTGTTGAATTTCCAGGGCGAGTTGTCTGGCGTCTGCCAATGACGAGCGGCTCTGAAATCTGTCAATTGACGCGACTTGATCCCTAACTGTGTAAGATATAGAGCTGGTAGCGGTCAAGATGTGCTGATGTTCCTTCATTGTTCTGCCATGAGTTTTGGGCATTGCCGCTGGAGCCCGGGCCGTGGCTCCGGTCGCCGCCACACCTGCCCCACTACCGGGAACCGGGCCGGGGATGGCCTGCCGGAAAACACTTTTGTCGTCCAAGAACTCCAAGTCTTAGCCTCCCAGCCTCTTTGAATCGAATTGCACATCTTACGCGGCACATATTCAGATTCACAGACCACACAAGCAACACAAATTGATTAAGTTGTACCCTTTGTCTTCCTTCCGAATGACACACGGAGCCAAATCTCCAGGAATTCTGTTGGTTTATTTTCGGCAGGTCATAATTTACAGTCGGGAGTAACGAATCTTACTCCTCATTCGTCTCCATGAATGTCCAGACGAGCAGCGTAGGTGCGGTCGACAATTGAAGAGATTTCGATGGAAATTTAGTGGTTGACGTCCGCCTTCACCGACTGGAATAAAATTCTCATTTACTGTCCGTACCAAGGCAAATTCTGACTATATTTGCGAAGTATGATGGGTTTTACTGCAGGCTCAGTCAGTCCTTTCTCGCGGTCGATGAAGCTCATGGACTGAAGAACGCAACCGACTCAACGCGGTTGCGCCAAGTTAACCAGATCCAGAGATCTATGCAGACATCTGGACGAGCGATGTGCCATCATAACATGATGGCACCTGAAGCCTGCGGCTTCTGCTGTAAAGAGATCCTTCCTGAAAGTTGCAAAGAATCTCCTAGGCGGGAAGCGATCTGTTTGGGATGTAAAACATCCTGCAGATGTACCCATGTCCAGTGTTGATGCGAAAACCCACTGTCGGCATCCGAAAGCCACCGACCAGGTCGAAGACGTCAGTCGTCCAATATGGGGGAAGTTAATGGCTGCTGACCCGGCGCTCAGGTGTGCTGCCAAGATAGTTACGATATCTCCAATATGACTGGTCGTTCTTGGCTCCGACCACAACCTAGTCGAAGGTTCGTTTTAGGATATCACCACGATATTAGTATTTCATTTGGGGAATTGCTAAAGCTCGATAGATGATCTCATGGCTCTAGTGCAACAAAGAAAGACTGAGAGCAGACAGTGGAGACGAGTTTGCAGTTCCATTCAGCCACGATAGATACACAGTCAGATCCGGATGCTAGCTGACTTGTGGAGCGTATCTGCCGGAATCCTTTGAATTAGTAACCCCAGACTTGGGAAAATCACAACAACGATAGCAAAAGCCACATATCTCAGCAATTTCAAATTCGGTAAGAAAAGAAATTGTCTTATTCAATGCGTCTTGAGCAAGGCAAACTATTGACTCCTCGAATTCAAAATTTGACCCCAGCCATAATGAATGGAGGTCTTGAACGTCACCGAAGGCTCGCACCCATTCATTCAAGCAGCCCCCGCCGACGAAGCCGAAACAGCGTAGTACGTTTGAATGGGACCACTTGGGGATCCTGCGGCTTGACTGACAAATCTCGAAGAGTTCAACCGGTCAAATGGGCACCGGTTTGGTCTATCACACAGGTCAGCCGCACCTGATGCTGGAATTAAAGACTAGTGGAAGGACACTGACTTGAGCAACCTGTTGCCATGTTCAAGCGGCGTTTGTAGTTCAAAATAACATCATATCGGCTGACATACCCTTCGGAAAGTAGCAAGCTGCTAGATAATGAGCTCGCGTCTATAATTATGGTGTTCTGCTGACTTCAGTCTCACAGCCGGTCATTTCCCTTCATGATAATGCGGACCGCCCTTCGCACTACCCACAATACTCAAACTCAGCATGCCAAATCTATCCATGCGCGCTGAAGACTATGCACGAGCCTGGGAAGGCTTGGAAGTGGCATGGCAAAGGCTGAAAGGCAGGGCTCTGGTTATCCTCATGGATTGAAAGTGAAATTTCGCGTGGCACATTCGCATGCAGAAGCAATCAACAAGACAACCGAAATGCGGTTGGATGGTGCATGGATCTTTCGGTCGAGCAGTGATGGATGTTTCTCTATGAAGTGTGCGCATTCAAAGCTTTCACATCGAGGGCTGGCAAATCGAGCGCCCGTAAGTTGAAGCAATCGCGGAAGATGCAGAGCAACGGTGAGGGAGAGTTCTCATAGGAAGATCTGACGGTCATGGACTGGATGACAAGCTACGTCTTATCCCGGATTGCCAAACCTGAGACGCATAACACATTGAGTCAAGCGGTGAAAGAGGGGAGCATCACAGAAGGCAGACTGGCACAAATTCCACGAGCCGTTCCAAGAAGGGGGGGAACGACGAAGACAGTCGGGATTTGCCCGGATTGGGCATGCGATATTCATGAGCCTTTCTGCGTGCGGACTCTCCAGATGGCATGCACAAGACCACCACCTAAGTAGGTTACTGCGTCCAGGAGTAACGGGAGAGACACTTTTCAAGAGTGCCAGATCAACGTGGGTGAGTCGTGTGATTGCTAATAAAACCGACCGAGAGAAGACGACTTTTGCGTTGCGAAGCACTCCCGATTTGTGACTTATCAGCCGGACAGAGGGGTACCAGGACTTTGGAAACGTGCTACCACAGAGTAAGACGCGGCGCAGTCCGTTTCATTCGGTCCAGACCGTCAATTTAGTGCATTTCGCCTCATCTGGCACCTACACGACGAACGATGTCAATCGTACGTAGACACCATCGATCTGCTGGTTCCTTCGATCCATGGGAAAGCAGATTAACTCGGAGATCTGTAACTCAAGAACCTGCCTGCCCACTAGTAGATGATTCTTAGGGCAACCTCGAATCACGCGACAGTCAAGGCCAACTGAGGAAACTTGAGCTGACGACCTCACCATTTCATGGGATCCTTTGATAGACATGACAATCAACTGAAGAATGGCCTTCTTCACGCGATTTGGAAGCCGAGGGCCTCAAGATATCCTTCAGCGTGAATGACGTCTTGCTACCATGACATGTTTTGAGCCACTCGTACGCAGTTGATTAGTCGTTCGATCCACGACAATGTTGGTGAATGATGCATTGCAAGTCAGCTAAGTTGAATGCATACGAACATTGCAAGTTCATGGAAATGACTGCCGTGGAGGACAAACATGGAAACGAAGAAACTGGAGAGATAATTTAAAGACCGGGTACAGGCAGGGCTGATCTATTACCCATGTTGATCTGGTGCCTTTGGAGAAGGCGATGAAGAAAAAAACACAAACTACAGCCCGTGACCTGCACACAATCCGCAAACTGCGCCCGACAAAAGTGCGCCCAAAAGGTAAACCAACAAAAACCAATACCATCCTCTGCCCATAACATTACTATCCTCCATATGCTTTTATCATTGTCTGATCAGCGCTCTGCGTTTAGAGCAGGCTTCGTATGTCGTGGTGACGATGTTGTCGTGACGACGCAACTCGTTCTCGATGACTCCAATTGCCTTTGCTACCCCGAGTATTCGATCGCGGAGGAGGTGACACTGAACCGTCGTCTGGTCTCCAACCGCCGCCCCTGCGTCCTCTCTCGTCTCCCTGGCAGCGTTGGTTTCCCTCATTACAGCCAGCCGTCGTGCAGTGTCGATCTGTTTTTGGAGCATCGCAGCTCGGTCGGAGGCTTGGAGGCTCAACTTGGACATGACTTGAAGCGCCGGGCCCATGACCTCGTTGAAGTGGTCGCAGATCTCGGTATCTTTCTCGAGCTGTTGGGCAAGTTTGTTGGCTTGCTTTCGGAGTGTAGTCATGCTCCTTTCGTAACGCGTGTATTCGTCGACGTGAACATCCTCCTCCTCGACTCTGGAAGCTCCATCTTGCTGGTCTTGGGAATCTTCTGTCGGATTTGTGTGGGTTGACGGGAGAGGGATTCCCCAATCTGACATGACGCCACCCAGAACCACTACCAGCACCTTCCTCTAGAAAGGGCAGTCGATGCAGCTCGGGAGGGGCTGGTCGGCTGTAGCAAACATCCCGAAGGCGAACACGAACACTCCACAGTCTGTGTTGTTGTCCTGACGATGACACAGGCGGGTCGTGACGCGGCTCGCCCTGGCGGAGGTTTCCGGCAGGTAGTGCCGAATGAAACCAGATACTGTGGTCTGCGCATGGGCCAGATTCTTCTTGCTGGGGAGGGAATCCAGAAGTTCAACCTTGTTAGCAGCCGGGCCATCATGGTGGATGGTTGCGAGGACCCAGTGCTCGAGGTTCACGTTGATTACCATGAGGACTCGTCTGGTTTGGCAGAGGCGGCGACCTATCTCTCGAAAGGGCTTGTAATCGTCTCGCATGACTGACTTTGCAACCCAAGAATCAACAAGGTATGTTTCCGACGACAAATCGGTAACTCTCGCGAGTGCGGCGTTGACCCAATCGTCTTTGATCCACGTTCTGGTTTGAAGCATCTCCTTGAAAGCATCTTCGCCCGGGGGAATGGCATCCAGTCGCTGTCGCTTGGGATCTGGATCTGGAATCATCATGGGCGGGAGGATCGTGGACTCGTCGCTGGACACGGGGTCTGACGGCAACGGGCTAGAGGCAATGACCTGAACGTCTGTGGAGGGGTCGCTCAAAGGAGTTGCAACCGATGGTGCGAGCGGAAGGACTGCAATCTCTGGCGTACGATCTTTGACTGGAGTTGCCTCTGATGGTATCAAAGGAGACTCTTCGTCGCGGTAGAATGAGGTTCGATGCGACTCTGCTGGGCTAGGCGCAACCTCTTCGATGTCTGTTGTAGGACCGCTGGACGCAGGTGCAACGGATGGAGTCACCGGGACGACTGCGAAGTCTGGTTCCGGATCGTTTGTCGAAGCTGCAACGGATGGTGTGTAGGTAGAATCCTCAGTGCCTTGAAAGGAAATTTGGTGCGGTTCGGGCTCGGGAAATGCTTCAGCGTCCACTGTGGTTGCGTCGTCAGGTACGCCGCTTGAAAACCGATGGAACGAAGGACTGTTCCAAAGGCTAGGCTCTGGTTCTGACTGACCGTCGTTTGCTTCGAAGAGATCCGAGTCTCGAGTAACGGCTGTCTGACTGGTACGCCGGGGCTTGTGTTCAGCGTCAATAGTCTTGTCGAAGGTAGTCTGGTCGGAGGTGGGTGTTCGGAGCTTCAGGTTGGATTCCGAGGCAAGCGAATGGGACGCGGCTTGGGGGCTTGAAGAAGAAGAAGACACAAAAAGAGACGCAGGTGATTTGGGCAGCTCTGACTCTTGAGTGGTGCCGTGCGCAGACCTGGGCACCTCTGGCTCGTCCTGTTGTGTGTCGTCGAGCACACTCGTCACGTCATTCAAGCTGATACCCTTGAACCTGGCTAAGGCAAGATCCTTCTTGGACTTGCTTGCTCCGGTATGCCTTGTGCTTGAGCGAGCCTCGAGCAGGCGGATGCAGTGGTTCCAGCCAAGTGGATGATTGGCGAGCGTCACAAGAGCTGCGAAGAACTTGTTGCTGTGCGAGGCGTAGTCGTAGCCGATTTGAAACAGGATGACGGTGGGATGGATGCCCCACGAGGATGCGGCCTTCTGCAACTTGGGTGAAGACTTCTTGTCGATAACGAAAAGGTCTTGCGGCAGCAGCTGAACAAGACGAAGGGCACAGGGGTATGGCAATGCAGATCTGATTGCGACGGGGTCGGCGTGGGCAAGAACTTGGACGACCGAGTTCTCGAAGTCCCTCAGCTTGGCATAGAGAGTGGCTGCGGACGTTGAGAATGTAGACAAGAGGTGCGATATTTGGTTGACGTAGTTGGCCGTTGGCTGCACGGGGCGGAGAGGTTGGCCTTTTGGAGCAGCAAGACGAGCCATACACGCATGTAGATACGGTGACCAACGAGCGTAACGTAGGTTGATAGACCAGATGTACCAAAAACAAAGACACAGACGATATTTGTCCGTGATGAGTACGTATGGATCGATAGCGAAATGGATTGAGGTTGTGCGGAAAAGAAGGATGTGGTGGAGGTGATGAGGTCGAAGTGGGATGTCGTTGAAGTCGGAGGTTGGATGTGGTTGATGCAGTGACAAAGTGGAGACGAAGGCGGTGGGGGAAGGGGAGGGCAGGCGTGGGGTCGAGAAGGGGGGGGGGGGCGGCGGGGNGGGGGAGGGGGGGGGGGGGGGGGGGGGGGGGGGGGGGGGGGGGGGGGGGGGGGGGGGGGTCGGCGGAGGTGGCGGTCGCAGTGCATCACACGGAAGGAGGGAACCGATGTGAGGTGCGGTGCGATACCTTAAGCAGGCTCGTCGGGTGCGTGCCTGCCTCATTTCAGTTGGGCAGGCGGGCAGAGCAGCATGTGACCGGCAGGCAGGCAGGACTCCACTCAGCGTGCAAGTGCTGTGTGAACCAGTCAGAGGTAAGTGCATGGGAGGCATGTCTGCCTGGGACTTGGGAAGGGGCCAGTATGACGACTGCTGTGATGTTGCGTTGCTGGCGGAAGTCGCAGCAGACCGCTGTGAGGTGGCTGCCGGCTCCACACGTCTTGATCGGAAGGTGGACGCCACGTCGCCGTCATGCCCGGTTCCTGTTTCCTTCGGCCCCGGCCGCGTGCCTCGACACAGAGGTGCGAAATGGCATGAGGGAAAACACAAGTCCCGTGTCATGGATACGCAAGTTTGGATCCAGACTCCCGCATGGGCTCGAGATAGATTAGCCAGGCTGCAATCTGAGTAAATGCGTTCTGCGTTGGGATGACCGGGCTGGAAAAACAATGAGACGAGATGAGACGTGACTTGGATGCGGGCGATTCACTGTATTTCTATTGACCCTGACTAATCTGAAGGTTGCCCAACAGCACAGCCGAAAGTGAAAACGACGGCGTATGGAATTCAGGAACCTGATAATGGATGTTGATTGGGGGTGCATCGGCAGTCGCATCCGGATCTTTGGACAACAAAGTTCGAAGACAACAATTGATCCATTTCCATTTCCATTCCCATCCCGGCTGCCATGCATGAATTCCTCATGAATTTCCCAAGCAGCGTCGCCTTGGTCTGCATCCAGTAGAAGATGATGTGAATGATTTCGCTGGTTCAAACGCCAACCCTTACCATGGCCACTATTGGTACGCGTAATTAGTAATTGGCGTCTCGGTGATGGAGGACGCTCACACAAACACTCACTCAATTGGAAATCCTCGCCATGCGCAAGGAATACAAAGTGTAGCCATAATTTTTGTCATCTGCAGCAGTCTTCATGTCGCCTTTTAGTGGTCCTGAAGCAGTGGGTCAACCGGTCGCGCTTCTTCGTCGTCGCTCATTTCATCGCTCGGTGCATTGCGTTGTGTGTCAAAGTTCACGAGGGCGGTCATATCGACGTGTAGGGTCCAGCAGATCCTACAGATCTTGAGCTCCTCGATCCTCCGGATCACCCGACACCACTGGAGTACGTATCGAAGCACCAGTGGTTTGGGGTGCTCGCCGTCATCTCGTGTCTTGAGGACGAGATCGATCAGCCTCTTGGCCCAGAAGTCGGGGTCTCCTGGCATGTGACCACCGCCCGGGTCTGTCATTCCAGCTTTGATCAGGCAGACGGGACAATTGTCATCGGCAAAATCAGCCCAACGGCGTACTCCTAGACCTCTAGACGCTTGCATCGTGGCGAACGGTGTTTGCGTTGATGTGAGCAGTGTCGATTCTAAATGCGCTGGGGGAGTTGGGAAAGGTGATGTAGATGGTGATGGAGCGACCTGGCTGAGGAGAGGACGTTGGAATTGACTTCGCCGAAACGACAGGAAACGACCTCCACGGGAGTGCATGCTATCCTTCTCGTCAATTGAGGAAGGCGGCCAGGTTATTTTGTCGTTGATGGCAGGTCCCAGGTGCATATTCCCGTCTACATCAAGGGCAGCCACCGTTCTCCCGGTTCAGCTCTGCCTTCCTTCCTCAAAGGCGAGTCATGATGTCCGATACGTGAAGTGGCTTGATTAATCTAGCTACGAGCGCTAGGCGCGCCTAGCTATAAAGTGGTGTAGCTAATCCCTTATATAAAGGCGGGATTTAGGCTAGGGTTTAGGCCTTAGACTTAGGCTTAGTTAACTACTATCTTATACCCCCTTTTTAACTAATACTTCTTATACTCTATAAAACTATTCCTATCCTAAAGTAGTAATTAAATTAATTATATAATTATTAGCTTTATTCTTAGCTATTTCTTTTATACTTTCTTTTTTATATTAATTTTATTATCCTATTTTATTTCTTAAAATACTTTTAATCTTTAACTTTTAGTTATATATTAATTATAATATAAAACCCTTATTAATTTTAAAATAATTTTAATATAAATTTAGGTTATATAATTTAATAATTTAGTTACTTTTAGATTATATANAGACTTAAATTAAAAAAGCTAATAACTTAACTTTAAAGCTTTAAATTTAAATTAGATTTATAGTAATTAGGTTTAGTTAACTCCTTAATATTAGTTAAATAATATAAATTTTATATTCTATAATTAAACTTAATATTTTAAAATAAGTAGAGTTTATAGATTCTTATAAAAATTAGTTCTAAGATATATTAATATTTTATATAAACTTAATTAACTAGAATAATTATTAGAAGATATTATAAAGTTTAGTTCTCTTTTTACTTTTATTCTAACTTATACTTTTAAGATCTAATTAAAATTAAGTAAGTTAAACTTAAACTTATATCTCTTTTAGTAGTTAGTATTATTATATTTTAATATAGATAAATATTAACTAAGATATCTAATTTAGTAATAAACTTATAACTTAGTGAAGTTAAAGTTTTTAATTACCTTTTAAGCTTTTATTATTAAATAACTTCTTATATAAGAGACTTTTATAGTTAGTAATTTAACTATTAAAAAGAGTAAATTAAGGTAATTAAAATAATATAAAGTCTAACTATAAAAGTTAATTAGTTAGTAAGATATAAAGGAATGAAGTTATTATATATAAAAGAAATAAATAAGTATATTAAACTTAATTAAGATTAAGCTTTAAGATATTATCTTTAGATTAGGACTTATTATTAGTTATAAGTAGTTTAGATAAACTTAGTATTCTAATAAAGTTATAATACTTCTCTATTATTAGTAGTTTAGTAAAGCTATTAGTAACTATCTTATAAGTTAAGATATAATTAATCTTAAAGTCTTTATTACTAATATTATTAATAATCTAGTAATATTTAATCTTAATATAGTGTAATTTAAGTAACTATTTACTTAATAAGTAATTATTAAGGGTATTTATAGAATCTATATATATTTAGAGAGGTAGTTAAATAGAGATATTTATCTTTTTAAAGAGATCTATAATATATAATAGAACTTTCCCTCTAAGTATTAGATTTATCTACTTAGTTTTATAGGTTAATATAGCTATAAATAATTATAATACTAATTTTTAAGTAATTAGTACTCCTCTATATATAATTATATAACTAGCTATTAATTTACTTATTCTTTTATAGTTAGACTAGCTAGTATTATAGAATACTAATAATTTAAAGTTATTAATAGAATAACTTAGACTACTAAAGTAGAGTATTAGTTATTATAAACTATAGAGATATCTCTATATTAATCTTAGTAGTTTATTATACTTTTTAGAAGTATATTATTAATCTCTAGTAATCTTATCTATAAGTATTATAATATCTAGTTATATATTATTTATAATCTATTATAACTTACTTAGATCGCTTTAATATTTATATATCTTAATAAATATTTTATATTATTTTATAATCTCTAATAACTAAGTATTACTAAGGGAGTAGGAAACTTAGTTATATTTAGTAATACTTTTCTCTATTAGTATATTATTAATATATTTAGTTTATAAGATCTAAAGTTATTTTATCTTTTAGTAGTAAATAATTTTAAACCTAAGAAACTATTATACTTTACTTATATTTTTAATCTAAAAGAAGTTATATAAGTTATTTTTAAAGTTATTAACTTACTTAATATTAGGTATAGTAATAAATATATTATTAATATAAAGTAATATTATAATATTATCCTTATTAATAAAAATATAAAGTTCTTTTAAGAGTAGATTAAACCTTAATTACTTAAAGATAATAATAATTTACTTATATTAAAGAAGAGGGGATTCTTTTAGTTTATAGAGAGCTTTTTTTAATCTATAAAACTAACTAGATCTATTATTAAACCTATAGAGTTAGGTAATAAAAATATTATAATCTCTTATAAAGATATTTAAGAAAGCTATAACTATATTAACTTAGTGAAATTTTAGATCTTTAAATACTATAATTAGTAAAAAGATTTATAAAGTAATAAGATTAGTAATAATAATATAAACTATCTTACTATCTTTATTTTAAAAGTTATTATAGATAACTTATCTTACTCTAATTCTATTAAGTCTTCTATCTATAGTAACCTTTTTATTATATATCTATTTATCTAAGAGATATTTAAAGTTATTTAGGAACTTTTTAAGCTACTAATATTCTATCCTTTATAAGCTTTTAACTTAAGTCTTTATAATATTAAAGATAGCTAACTTTAGAGGTTTTTTTTCTATTATTTCTTACTTCCTAAAGGTTATAAGTAAATAAATCTCTAAGCTAAAAGCTTATAATAGGTTAAATACTAAGAAAGTAAAAGTAACTAGTTCTTAATTTATTTTATTATTAATTAAGTTAATCTTTATAGCTTTTATCTTACTAAATTCTCTATTAAATATCTTTATATTATATAATACTTAAGTTCTAAATATCTAAGTTATTTAACTTAAAGAAGAAATAGCTACTCTTAGTAATCTTATAAGAGTAGAGTTTCTACTACTACTCTTTAGTCTTCTTCTTAGTTTTCTTTATATTAGTTAAGGTATTTAGAGGGAAATAATAGGGGATCTTAGCTATAGTAATATAATAGGGGAACTCTATTACTAATAAGAGATAGTAGGAGAACTCTAACTTAGAGGAGTAATAAGAGAATATTAGTATAAAAGAGAATCTTCTTTTAGTATTAATTATATCTATATATTTATAATATTAGTATTTTATATTAATATATATTAGAAGGTATGAGGGTACTTCCCCTTCTGTTCACTCTATACTAGAGGGCTTAAGGCCCTAATACTCTATACTAATACTTAATACTAAGTAATACGCTACTAAGAAACCCTTTATAGGAAGAAAACTCAAGCTACGTTATATAATACACGATTAAGCAGACGATACGCGTATATATAATACTATATAATAATTAGCTAGAGGCCGTTAGTGCCCCACTATATATATAGGTCCCCTGAGGGAGGGACCCACTTTTTACAGCAGGTTCTTAACTAATCAGAAGAGAGGAAAAGGGGTTCCTATAGTCAGGATCAAACTGACGCCTATGCGTTTAGGTAACGCACAGGCCTACTAGGCGCACACCACTACGCTATATAGGTTTATATTAATATATATAGTTTTAGATCTAAAGTTAGTAAACTACCTCTTTTTCTACTAACTTCTTTTTATTCTTAAAGAGGTTTATCTTCTTATTTTTATTTATTATTACTTTCTAATTCTTAGGCTTCTTTTAAATATAAATTATCTATCTCTTTTTATAATAATTCTTATTTAGTAGAATAAATATAATAGTATAACCTTATATTTAAATTATAAAGCTAAGATTTAGTTTTATAAATTATAGTTAGTAGTTTATTATTATATTTATAGGTTTCTAGTTTAACTTCTTTTTTTAGTTATAAGTTATTAAATTTAATTAAGGGAGCTCTCTTTTATCTTCTTTAAATATTATATCCCTTATTTACTAAATACTATTAGTCTTTTTAATAAGAATATAAAAGATATTACTATAGAAGCTATTATATCTTATAAATCTTTTAAGTTTAGCTTTAAGTTTTATTTTCTATCCTTTTATATATAGATAGCTATTTAAATAAATATAGATATAGACTTAATAGCTTTAGTAGTAGAGATAGTATATATATAGTTTTCTTATAGTAAGAGATATATTAAAAATATTTATTAGTTTCTTATAAGGATTAATATTACTCTTACTATTAAATAATAGATTACTAATTTCTATAGAAGTTTTTATTAACTAAGACTAAAAGGATTTAAGAAGGCTAGCTTTTATATATATTACTTATACTTTTTACTATATAGCCTTATTAAAGCTTTCTACCCTCTTATTCTACTAATAAGAATAAAATACTATTATTTTTAGAATAAAACCCTACTCTTAAATAAAAAGCTTTATTACTTTAAGAAAAGCTATATTATTATCTATAATAACTTTAGAGAAGTAAATAATATTATTTATTATTATAATCTTTTTTAGAAATTAGTTTTATAGCTAAATAGCTATATCCTTTTTTAATTTAAATACTTAGAACTATTTATAAATTAAGAAAGCTTCTATAATATAGAGATTATAAATAATATCTCTAAAGCTTTATAGTATTAATTCTAAGAAATTAATCTAAAACTTCTAAAAAGCTTAGGTTAGTTATACTTATTATCTATTACTAAGTTATTATATTAATTTTACTATAAAGTAGATATAATATTTATATCCTATAAGAGGTACTCTAAAGAGGTTTATATTAATATCTCTTATAGTAGTAATAGTTAT